ACCACTACTACACACACACACACACACACACACACACACACACACACACACACACACACACACACACACACACACACACACACAGGATGCGCAGCGTACATTGGAGTGCCATTTGGGCCTGTGGTGGGCTCTGTGCCGTGGCGTTGGCCATACAGTAGCTGGTCCAGATACGCCCTCCCGACCGCCGTCTCATACGAAGCAAAGTCAAAGTTTGGCTCCTTGGTCTGTGTGTTGCATGTATTGTGTTGTGTTGGGTCAGATGTGTGTGTGTGTGTGTGTGTACGTGTGATGAGCTGCTAAGGTGCTTCTGTGTTCAAGCATCAGGTACAGATGCACGGCACTTGAACTCTGCCAGTATCTTCCCTTCCTCCTTCCCAGGCACACACATACACACGCGCACAGAGACAGACACACACGCACAGACAGACACACGCACAGAGACAGACACACACGCACAAACACGGTCACAGACACATACGCACACACACGCACAAACACGGTCACAGATACATACGCATGCACGCAATGCGGACGCACCCATGGCTCCATGATGTTGGGGTGCTTGATGAGCCATTCATAGAGCGTGGTTGTGGCGCACTTTGCAAAGCCACCGAGTGCAATGTGTGGCACCTGTGGCGGCGCCGGCCCAGACACCTTATGCATGCGCATAGCGTTTGCAGAGGGCGCAAGCAGGTAATTGAGAATAAACTGCGTGAATCGCATGGCTTGTGGTTTCGTTTCATGTGCCGAACAAGCAAAGTCACATCACCCACCATACAGTTATTTACCACACAGCAAACTGGCGGCATCCGCATGTTTCTGCCCTCTCCTATCCCCTGATCGATACCTGTTCTTGTTGCCGGGTTTCATGTTGCTCGAGCTTGTTTGAGGTCGTCGCAGCTGTGGCGGCATCGTCGTCCTCCCATTGCACGCCATCGCCTCGGCATCCTTCGCGTGTCTGTTTTGCATGACAGCATGACGGTGACCGTTGAAGGTTACTTACGCAGGCATGCTGGCATGGGACAGAGGAGACCGATTGCCGCGCTCTTGTGTCCCGTCCAACTTCACCTTGCTTGGCTGCAGCCCACACAACACCAACCACCCACGCCTCGCACATGTACAATAAAAACACAAGTGCACACACTCACACGCACACACACACACACACTCACACGCACACACACACACACACACACACACACAAGAGCACTTCGAGATGACGCACCCGATAGGATGCGGCGACAAAGTCAGCACCAAGGCCGAGCGTGCTGCCCACGTAGCGATCGTGCTCGGCGCGTGAAACGTACAGGCCACCCTTCTCTTTTTCTGATCATAAATGCATGTTCGGTTGGGTACAAGTTGAGTGAGTAGTTGAAGCTAGGAAGCTGATTCGACACAGTTCTACAGTTGAACCACTGCAGCACTGCGCTGGGTGAAAAGGCACCTCCGTGCATGGATGGGACTCAACAGGCAAGGGTGTGTGACAGAAGTAAGTGCCGCTGCTGTTTCTCACCGTTTGTGGTGCGGCTGTTCGTGAAGATGCGCACAAAGGGGGAGCGGTGCTTGAGGAGGAGATGAAACCGGCTTAGCTCGCTATACATTTCCGGGGCGAGGGATACAGGGGAGCACGCTGGCTGAGGGAAGTGAACTGTGTGTGCATTTAGGCTTGATTGGTGCTGGGGTGTGTTCTCGCTGCTGCCTTGCATGTCCCGGGAAAGCTGGCATGCAAGCAGGCAAGACGTGGACAGCTTGCGATTGATCACAGTGATCCCCGTCGACCAGCCATCACCGCCCTGTGCAGAGAAAATACAAAAAATGGAAAAATGGTCGAGTGAGGAAAGCAATGTCGGAACAAGGTTGCAGCGAGCGACAGAGACATGGGGCCGATGTGGTAGAAGGCTGGAAGCAACGTGTTTCAGTGGTGTGCTTGCATGCAAGCAGCGAGCTAGTGCAGCACGCACCTCAGCTGGCCGTGCCATAAGGAACGAGTTTGTTGTACTGCCTTCCTCCGATCGTGCTGCAGCGACTTGGACGGCTCGCTGCAGCCAAGTCATCATTTCTGAGAGTGGCGCACCGGCGTACACGCCAGCGTCAAGGACAACCGCGATGCGCACCTGCCGTGGCAGGAACCGGAAGGCCTCTGAAACACGCATCATGTGGCTCTGCCGCAGCCGCTGCGTTGACTTGGTGCCGTTGAGCACGTGCTTGAAGACAACGCTCCTGCGATGCGCCTGCCACTGCGTCTCGTACCACAGGGCCTCCTCGTCATGGCTGGGCAGGGAAAGTGGGTCTGGCGCGGCGCACGTCGTCACTATCACGGTCTGCGGGTCTCGTAGGCCGCCAGCCGTCCACAGAGAGCGTGCCGCCAGCAGCGCGTGAGGGATGTGTCGGCGGTCATCCAAATCATACAGGACGAACCCGACGCGCTCGTGCATCAGCCCAAGCGCACCCTCAACCCGTGCAGCTGCGGCTTCAGCGCCCTGAACCGCGATGTACATGCTCGCTATACCAACCATCACCATACAGCTCGCTGCCACGGCCGCAGCTCGCAGAACCGCAGCTCGCAGCGCCATCGTTCTCTTCTGGCTGGATGAAGGGATGAACGACAGAGAAACGGCTTCTTCTTATCCTTTGCTCGCAGGCAGCAGTTGTTGCGATTCATGGAAGACATGCACCACTTTTCGCCATCGAAGAATCACAGAAGTGAACGAAGGTGGAGAGCGCAGTGGCACGCTGTGGATTGTGTGTGTGTGTGGATGTGTGTGTGTGTGGATGGATGCGTGTGTGTGTGTGTGTGTGTGTGTGGATGGATGTGTGTGTGCCCGCTTTGAGTCGACACTCGTCCCCTGCGCTCGTCTTATTCTCACAACTACACTGTTTTTCCCCCCAATCACGCGCGGCAGGTCGAGCAAGCAAAGCAAGCAAGCAAGCGTCCACGTTTTTTTTTGGTGTTCTTCTCCACCCACCTGCAACCATTACCGACTCCGCTGCAAAGAAGGTGCGTGCAGCTTCCCTACATGCTAGCGAAGAAGAAGAGCATCGTGACACTTTGCATCAAAAAACCACCACCATACCTCGCTTATTCGGTTCAACTTTGAATGCGCCTTTCTCACCTCAGAACACCAACCCCTCCCCTTTTCGCGTCCATACCGTACTTGTCGTCTCAGGCGCGCACTTTTGACGCCAACATGAAGAGCTTCATTGAAGTGTCGCCCGACTCGGACTTTCCGATCCAGAACCTTCCCTACGGTGTCTTCTCCAAGCCCGGCGATGTACGTAGCGCGCTTTCTCTGCCACAGGCATGCCATGGGGGAGAGGGACAGGAAGAGGAGAAGCTTACGTGATGTCGTTGTGCCCTCATGTCTTCACTCACACACGCACGCACGCTCACTCACAATACTCATAAAACACACACACGCGCACTCACAACACACACATAAAACACACACACACACACACACACAACACTCAAAACACACACACGCACACACGCACACACACGCGCACACACACTCACAACACACACACACTCACAACACTCATAAAACACACACACGCACACACACACACACACAACACACACACACTCACACACTCACAACACACGCTTTGTAGGAGACCCGCCGCATTGGCGTGGCCATCGGCGACCAGGTTCTCGACCTGAGTGCCATCCGCCACCTCTTCACCGGCCCCATCCTCTCCTCCCAGCAGGATGTCTTCGCCAAGGTACATGCATACCGGTTTTTGTGTGCACGCGTACATCGAACTGTGCCTGCCTGCGAACGCTTGCATCATCGTTCTATACCATGCAAAGCTCGGCTCCCAACCATGCACCCCCTCCCTTTAGCATTTTCCACGCTGTAGCGCCCATTTCACGTCCCCCTCCACCACCACCACCCTCCTCAACCACTGCCTACCAACCAGCCTTCGCTGAACGCCCTCATGGCGCTGGGCCGCCCCGCCTGGACCGAGGCCCGCGAGACCATCCAGAAGCTCCTCTCCGCCGACGAGGTTTGAGCCAGCGATCGTCGTGCTCGCGCCGGCATCACACCAGCACACACTCCCGTGTGTCCCCGTACACGTGTTCCCTGTAAGCCACATGCTGGTCGCATCTCATCCCACCGAACCGTTTGCGCTTTTTGCTCGTCTTCGTTTTGCACACCACCGTACTTGCAGCCCACCCTTCGCGACAACCAGGAGCTCCGTGCTGCGTAAGTCGAACTTTTTTTTTTTTTTTGCATGTGTGTGCATGTATGTTTGTATACATTCTGTACATGTGTGTGTGTGTGTGTGTGCGTGTGTGTGTGCGTGTGTGCGTGTGTGTGTGTGTGTGCGTGCGCGCGTGCCTTCCCCTGTGTGCATGTGCGCGCCTCTTCCCCTGTGTGCGTGTTGTCGTGCCAAACACGCACCTTTGTCCAAGCACATTCATTCGCTGCTCATCAAAGTCGTTCGTTCATGGCGCGGCCGCCACCGCAGCGCCCTCGTGCCCCAGGCGGACGTGACCATGCACCTCCCCGCCGAAGTTGGTGAGTCATCGACCGACGTGGCATCACGCACGCCATCGTGTTCCGGCACTGCAGCACCACCTCCCACCTTGCACTGCGTCCTGTCTCGTCCGTTTCTTTGCGTTCACTCGTTCACTGACGACTCCCTCTCACGCACAAATCGCAACACTTCATACTGCATGCCCTTGTTTGCTTCGCAGGTGACTACACGGACTTCTACTCGTCGCGCGAGCACGCCAGCAACCTCGGCAGCATGTTCCGCGACCCCTCCAACCCGCTCCTCCCCAACTGGTGCGTACCCTCTTGCTCCAGGCACACACACACACACGCAAGTGTGACTGTTGCTGTGTCGCGATGTTTGGATACACTTGATCACACGTCCTTTTGCCTTGTCCCCCACACTCCACCATCCCCTCTCCCCAATTCTCCTTGCGTGCGTTCAGGCTGCACATCCCCGTTGGCTACCACGGCCGCGCGTCCTCGGTCGTCATTTCCGGCACCCCACTCCACCGCCCGTGCGGCCAGACCCGCCCCAACAACGGTCCGGTGCTCGCCTGCTGCCATAACCGCTGTGCTTTGACTGGGAGTGTGGAGTGTGGGGTTGTGGGAATGAGTGCGGGGTGCTTTGAATGACTCAGACCATGCACGTCCTTTGGGATTCGCTGATTCCCCCCCCCCAACACGCTCACTCGCACCCCGACCCCCGTTCCTTCCCTCTCCTTATCCCTTCCTCTCTCTCTCTCTCTCTCTCTCTCTCTCTCTCTCTCTCTCTCTCTCTCTCTCTCTCTCTCTCTCTCTCTCTCTCTCTCTCTCTCTCTCCCAAACGATCTAGTGAGTTGGGCTTGTTGTTTTTATTTTTTTTTTTTTTTTATTTTTTTTTTTTTATCTTTTTTATTTTTTTTTTTTTTTTTTCA